CCTCTCACTTGCCCTTGCAATCCCTGGCAACTTTTAGAAATGAGGTCTGGCTATGAATTTAAGACTCTTCTGCAAAGACTTTTATAATCCTTAAAAAAAAAAAAAAAATCCCTCTCAGAACTCAACGGAAAGTGAGAAGGCAAGAAGAGGGGTGGGGATCCAAAGAAAAATCAACTCTACTTACTATTCTTAGGAATGACAACTGCGGACCACTTTTTGCAACTTACTGTTAGGTCTGGAGGGTAGGGGAGACACTGATATATTTTGTGAGCTCAGAATGGTTAAGGGCAAAGGCCCTTGGTTAAAATACTGGCTGTACCACTCACTATTAGGAATTTTGGCAAATTTATTACTCTCTTTTATAAGGCTTCCATTTTCTCATTTGTAAATGGGAAATAATAGTGCCTATATTTCTTATCTGAAATATCAAATTAGGTAATGTCTGGCGGGTAGTAAAACTTGAATACATGTTAGTTTCTGCCATTTATTATTTTTTTTTTGTAGAACTACAAAAAACTACAATAGTTGTTGCTGATCTATGAAATGGCAATTTTGTATAATTCTTTTACCTTGATTATTTTCTAAAGTGGTCATGAGACAAAATGTAGATGTCTCAGTATCTGAGACAGGTATAAAAGAAAGACAAAGAAATGGAATGGTCCAGAGTGAAGTATGTCTGTATCTCCACCAGCAGGTTCATATCCCTCAAACCTGCACATTGCATATGTGTTGAATGAGATACCACTGCTCCTGACTCTTCATTCAGTAACATCCCTTTCTCAGGCCATGGGAACCACTGGACAACTTAGGACTAGGGTAGCTCCAAGGGGTATATTTTTATTACCCCAAGGTAAGGCTGTGATTTTCCTTGCTTCACAAACTGGAACACAGGAAGTGTTCCTCAAAACAGATTTTTAAATTGATGGCTATGATCTGAGACAGGTCTCAATCAATTTTGGAATTTATTGTACCAAGGTGATAAGGACATGCCCAGAAGAAAACAAAACACAAAAAACAAAAAAACACAGGTTCACAGAAACAGTCTGTGGTCTGTGTCCATTTCCAAAGATTGAATTTGAGGGCTTTAATATTTATAGTGGGCTGCAGTGCAAAGAGGAAGGGTATGGTAATCTGCATGTTGCAAAGGAAAAGGAGCAGATAGGAGGCTAATCAATTAGGTCTCCTGCTCAGTAAATCAGTACTTTACATAAGGCAAGGCGAACATAGAGTAGCTACCTGTAGAGAGATTTAACCTTTTATCTGTAGCTATCTGGTTAGGAATAAAGGAAAGGCATTTTCTTGCATGACTCAGCATTCAGCTTAATTTTTTCCTTTTGGCCTAGTGAATTGGGGTCCTGAGGTTTTATTTTCCTTTCACAGTTACGTCCTCTAACTATCCATTAAGTCTTACACTTCAAGTCATTTATGATTGATATTTATCACTTGCACTGGGAATCTAACTACTACTTGGATCATTGTTGTTTGGAATAAACATATTTGAAGTCAAAACGAGACTCTATGTCCGTTTTTGGAGCACAAATAATTGTTACTAGGCAGAGCTGAAACACAGTCATGTTTTCCGTACCTTCTTCTGCAGAGAACACTGTTGTCACCGGGCTAAATGGTCCTTCACCTTTGTTATTATAAACACCCACTTTAACTTCATATGGTGAATATGGCACGATGCTTTCATTCCGAAAGACATATCTTGGGGTGTCAGGGGATGTCACCACTGTCTGGATCCAGGTGGTAACCCCAAGAGGGCGGAAAGCAACAACATACCCAAAACCTTCACCATTCTGTAGTTCCTCGGGGACTGGCTATAAAGGAAAGACACACTGAATCACCCTTACACATAAGGGCAAGGCAAAAATGAATGGAGCTGTGATCCACAGGCATTTGTAAAAGTCATCAAATCATCATCTACATTGTATTAAGCAGTTGGATGAAAAAAGGAGTAGAACATCAGCAGGAGAGTCATGCCAGCTGCTTTGAAACAGACATATGCCACCATTTCATAGCCATCCAGATAATGAACTGGAGTTTTCTGTGATTATTCAGACAGCTGATCATCTTATGGTTCAAATCTGAGTTTCTAATAGTAAGATACACTTTCAGTTGAAAATATCTGATCTCTCAAGTCAAATAAAAATTATCTAATTCTTAATGTTGACTTTATGAGAAGAAACATTGGACTAGTGATTAACATAATGAAGTAAAACTGAAAAAAATAAAATAAAAAGGGGCTCGGTACAGTGGCTCACGCCTGTAACCCCAGCACTTTGGAAGGCCGAGGCGAGTGGCCATCACGAGGTCAGGAGTTTGAGACCAGCCTGTCCAATATGGCGAAACCCTGTCTCTACTAAAAATACAAAAATTAGCCGGGCATGGTGGCATGCGCCTGTAGTACCAGCTACTCGGGAAGCTGAGGCAGGAGAATTGCTTGAATCTGTGAGGTGGAGGTTGCAGTGAGCCGATACCATGCCACTGACTTTAGCCTGGGCGACAGAGAGAGACTCCATAAGAAAAAAAAAAAAAAAAAAAAAAGGGAAGTAAATACTAATTTATAAATTAACAAATTACAAGGCAGGTGGATCACTTGAGGTTAGGAGTTTGAGAGCAGCCTGGCCAACATAGCAAAACCCCGTCTCTACTAAAAATACAAAAATTACCTGGGCATGGTGGCATGTGCCTCTAATTCTAGCTATTTGGGAGGTTGAGGTGGGAGAATCTCTTGAACCCAGGAGGTGGAGGTTGCAGTGAGCTGAGATCATGCCACTGCACTCCAGACTGGGCAACAGGGCAAGACTGTCTCAAAAAAAAAAAAGGAAAAAAAATATTAATGAAAAACTCAAAGCTATATTTGAGTCATGTCAAAAATTTTACTGACACATCATCAACATCTTCAAAAAATGCAGGTAATTCTAGTACTTTTTGACTTCAAACCTGTTAATTAACCTTTTTCCTACTGACGATGTAAACCAAGGGCTGAGAGAATGGCCAAGAAAGAAACAAACTCAAGCACCTGTTGGAATAGGTGCCTTTACCAGTGGGGGCTGCACGGCTGTTTGGAAAATCATAATGGGAGCTTGAGGGGCAACAGCCACAACATAACTCGTCCCTACGTCTACCAACCAGGTGACCCTGGGCAAATTATTTCTTATCTCCGAGCCTGTGTATTTTCATCTGTAGATTGATGCAAGGATGACATGAGGAAAATATATGCTAAATGCTGGGAACAGTGGGTGGCTCAGAGAAAGCATAAAAAATATTAGCTACTATGGCTACAACTACCACCACCAGCCCCAATACCACTAACCCCACCACCACCACCTATATTACCACCAGCAGCAGCAGCACCCACCAACCACACCCCCAGCACCACCACCTGGAAAGCCACAAAGATCATGGGAACAGCAACACCCTGATAGTGAAGATGCTGCCCAAACACTTACATCCCAGGTTATCACAAGTTCAGACCGGCTTCCGCCTCCTCCATTGACTTCAGAAGGGGGCACTTCTGGAACTGTACAGGTCAGAGAAACAGAGATGAAATGGTACTTGCATTAAGTAACATTTATCTAAAAGACAATGCAATTTTTTAAAATATTTAAAATAATTTAATCATTGGCACATTATTCATACATATAGATGTTTATGTACGTACATACATTTACATATTTTTATGAGATCATCAAACAACATATTTACATGAAATCATAAAAAAATTCAAAATCTCTCAAAGAAACATGACCAAGTTGGAAGATACTTTGCTAGTCTGAGAGTTAATAAAACAAGAAAAAGTGATTCACCAGAGATGATGGGAAATCAATCCAGCATGAATGTTTAGCTTGTGACTATTTCAAGTAGAATATAATTCTGAGAACAACATTGGCTATATGTAAGGATGACCCAAACTCAAACCCTTGAATCTTGTTTTGAGGTATTATTTATAAACTTCACAGGGGCATCAGATTCTCACACTGAGAACTTTAGCCTTAGTGAACCCCAGGACAAAACTAGAATATATGTCCCATGAAAGTGGGTCTTTGGTATGGTCACAGCTGTACTTGCAGTATCTAGAAACTGCTGAGCACACAGAGGATGCTCCCTAAAATATGTGTAGTGTGAACAAATGACCAGAACACCAGGGCAAGCACAGTTCCTCTATTTCTCGTATTTCCTAGCATAAACATTATGTGCATTATTCTGAGTTAAATAGCATCATGAAAATTATTGAAACATATTTGATGACTTCCGTCTTAGCTGAGTTCCTAAAGTGATCTACCAGCTCTATTTCAAACTTCATTTTAGTTAATATTAAGTAATATTACAGATCCTGAAAAGGCAAGTCTTTAGGTCTCAGTTGTCCCTATAATGTGATGCTATGTACACTTTCTAGTTTGAGTTTTAATGCTGGGATATTTTTAGAATAATAAAAGCAGTCTTATGGTCTATGTGAATAGTTGTCTCACGTGGAAATTCTTATCAATGATTCTTTCTTAATTCAACACTTGAAGTGACAAAATATACCTATTCATCAATTGTTTAAGCTCCTTCACTGAGCTTGGTGGCAAAATGAGATTTGCTAGCAGCAGAACTCACAAATGTCATTATCCTACCAATTTGTCAATGCTTGTTATAAATGAAAACAGCACTTCCCTTGTTAACAGGGTAACTATGTCAGATAGTAATTATAACCTTAAGTGACAAAAACATATTCACTCAACATGCACTAATGATCGTTTACAATGGACTGAACTCTTGGAAATGTCACACTACATCAGAATCACTTACACGTGTTTCTTTTGACAAATGCCATATGGCCAGTTTTGCCATTAGAAAGGTCAGATAATTGCAGCAATGGATTATTGAGGCCGACCCCCTGCTGGCCTGGAGTTCAGGGCCAAGGGAAATGGAAGTACACAGAAATCTATTAACCCGTTACTCAGAAAACAAAAACACTAACCTGCCTCTTCAGTTCTTACTTTTTCTGAGGGTAAACTGGGTTCTCCACCTCCAATTTTATTACTGGCTACAACCCGAAATTCATATTCCACCCATGGGTTTAACTCAACTACAGTGGCTGTGTGTGTTTTCCCATCGATGACCTCAGGCACTACAAAGGAATATTTGAGAGGTAAGAGTCTTCATGCTTCAGCATTGACTTGAAATCCATTTGTATGTGTGCAGATGACCTCTGCCTCTCCCCCTTTACCTGTTGTGACGGTTTGCCAACCCACGGAGAAAGGTGTCCGAGCCTGGATGGAATAGGATATAACTGGGCTATGGTTGTCTTTACCTTCTTTCCAAGAGAGTTGGGCTGTTGTATCTGTAATTTCATCTACTTTCACATTTTCTGGTGGTCCAGGTGAACCTAAGGAAGGCACAAATGGAAACATTGGGTAGCAATTACATAAATGTCATCTTCTCCTGTCAAAGAGAAGAGAATGTCACATGACCACTTCAATGTCTCTGACTTTTCCCAATTTCAAAAACACTTAGGGCAAAGGCCATTTACCTGATAATAGAATAACTACTTCCCTCTACCCCCCATTTCTGTTGTTAGATCTTAAATTTGGATGTGAGGCAGTAATTCCCAAACCATAATACTCTCTGATTGCAGATGATATTCACTTTTAAAAGCCTCTGTTCAGCAGGATTCCTGTACCTTTCCAAATTCAATGTCCTTTACTCCTGGTGTGATGCCTTTCCCTTTAATCCACTGGTGTATCTCTGTAGTTCCCAATCTGATACCTAGATGTGTTTTATTTCATGATGTACTCTGGTTATTTGTCAGCCCAGCAGCAAATCAGTATCCTGGACAGCAGCTCAGGTTGGCAAATTTTCCCAGTCATTCTGAATAATCCTGATACTTTTTTTCTATTTTTAGAAAATTGTCCTACATACAATTATTCCCAAGTCCTGATTATTCTGGAAGCAAACACACTGCACAATATTCTCTCTCAAATTAAATACAATCACTGAATTAATGACATGCTCAAAAACACATCAGCTTGGCAGCAGCTGTGGAATGCCAATTACATTGAGAGCTATTTGAAGGGCAGAGTTGAGATTTTTATTTCTTTGAATTAGCACTCACCCCTATTGTCATATTCTGTGGTCTATGTGGGGACGATGAAATCAATATGATAACTTGTATGCTCACATACTATCTCATCACGGTTTTTCCTCCAGTAAGGAATGCTGTTAAGATGTGAAGTTACAAACTCAAGGAGGCATAAATGTTTACCTCTTACTATGAGGTCAGCAGCAGATGAAACACTGTCCACCCCTGTTTGCACCATACAAACGTATTTCCCACTGTGTTTCAGTTGAATGTTTCTGATCATTAAATCACCAGATGAACTCTGTTGGGAAAACAGGTAATGAATATACCATTATTTAAAACAAACAAACAAACAAACAAACAAACAAACAAAAAACACAAAGAATTTTGAAGTCTATGGCCAAAAACAACAAATCGCAATGAAAACTGTATTTAGGGAGCAAACTAAGGTGGTATAAGAGAGCAGATTGCTGTAATGGAATGTATGGAAATAAAAACAAGTTAAAAACCATACATGACTGCAGTCAAAGATTTCTGTAGCCAAATAAACAAGAACCTTCCTCCTGGGCTTTATGGTTTCGAAAATAAATAAGGGCAAAGATTACAGTCTCAGAGTCTATTTACTTCCACCGGGGTGACACTTCTTTTTATATCCACTGCTCAGCACCAGCTCAACTCTCTTCTCTGGTTCCAAACCCTTTGCAATTATCTGCCTGAGAAGAAGAGGAACGCATGTGGGTATCTAGTGGGAGATAAATGCAGCATGACAAGGGGATTACCACGGTTGAAACACTTCTCTGAACACATTGGAGCTTAAAAAGCCTAAAGCTGTTTAATTCCTTGGCTGCAGAAGTTAGGGACAGTCAGCATGAAAGCATGAACCCCTCAAGAAGAAGAAATTAAAACATTTTAAACCTTAAAAATAACAGCTACTGGGGCACGGTAGTTCAAATTTGTAATCCCAGCATTTTGGAAGGCTAAGGCGGGTAGGTCATTTGAGGTCAGGAGTTCAAGATCAGCCCGGCCAATATGGTGAAACCTCATCTCTACTAAAAATACAAAAATTAGCTGGGTGTGGTGGTGCACCCCTGTAATCCCAGCTATTCAGGAGGCTGAGGCATGAGAATTGCTTGAACTTGGGAGGTGGAGGTTGCAGTGAGCTAAGATCGAGATCACATCACTGCACTCCAGCCTGGGTGACAGAGCAAGACTCTGTCTCCCCATCCAAAAAAATAAAAAATAATAACAGCTGTCCTTAAAGACATTTGCTGGCATTCCCCAAGAGCTAATTAACAGGGCAAATATATTTCTAAAAGCTCAATGTTAAATGGACCTCATTTTAAGAGAATGTAAAATTGTGTTAATAAAATGACTAACTGCAAGTCAGTTTCACACATTAGTAAAAATATGACTTGTAATTAAATGATTTCAAAACCAAAGCCCTTGGAAAATGATCATCAGTTCATGTCTGATAAAGAGAAAGAAGCAATAAGTAGTGTTTATCTTATTAATTAAAAGAAAAGTTTTAGTCTTGAGTTTTTGTAGTATACATAGCAAGATGAATTCTATTATCCTATTTTTAGGGAATTTCCTAAAATCTTCTATAGAGTAATTTCTTAAATATTGCTTCCTGTCTTTAGGATTCTTAATGGATTACATATTCTCTGTTAGTTGTATCGTATAGTTTTAGATGAAATTTGTGAGGACTGGAAGAAGACAGATGGGAAATGATTGATGGTTGTAATTAAATGATAATCCAGAAACTGTTAAGCTTGCATGTTTTACTTTCATCAAGTTAAAACTTTTTTCTTTCCCTCTCTCCCTCTCCTTCTCCTAGGGTTATTTAGAAATGTATCCCCAGGACAAAAACCTTTAATGCTTGCTGACCTTTAGAAACTCTTCAGGTTTTACGAGCTCCATATACTCACAGGAGGTTGATTATCATTTCTATAGAAATCTCTTATTTTCAGTGAAGAACTGTTAGTAGTAAATGCCATCTAAGGCATTGGGGTAAGCTTTTTATTCCTGCCAACCTTTATTTGCTTATTTTGAAGGCATCTGGGTAAAAGAGAATTGTGTCGGGACTTTATGTCCTCACATATCTGGATACACCTTTTAGGCACAATGGCTGGCTTTGTTTCTAGAAGCAGTAAGGAAAAGTTTGGTGGTGGACTTCTGACTTCTGTTCACTCTTGGCACTGACAGGTGAAGAGAGAGAAATATCTGCATCATAAAAAATGAAGCCATCTTCCTAAAGAAATGTAGTCAGGGGAAATATAATTTTTAATTATCCTTTTACATTGCACAGTAGAAAAAGGAAGCAATTAACTAAAACGAGTTGAAATGGAAACCATTTTTTTCAGCCCCAACATGGACTTGAGTGTATGAATACATAAATGGAGAATAAAATTTGACAGAGTATAAGAGAGATTCTCTCATTATGTTTTGTCTCTATCAATAAAACATATTTGCATTATTCCTCTTCTAATGCTCTCTCTCTTCCACTCTATGATCTTTTAAGGGAGCACTACACAGAGACAAGATTTATCTTAACAAAAGTGCATGCCTTGCTTGCTATGTTAGATTCATTCAAGGACAGAGAAGTGTCTAACACATGGCCCTCGCTCTCTAGGACGTAAACTCAAGTCAGGGTAAAAAGGTGGTATAAACATGTGAAACAAGTTATGTTTACAAATTTAGAAAGTATAATTCACAAAGGTTAAAGTCACGTGGCATATACCATGACTAGACGATGGCAAAATGAAAGAGACAGACATTTTCAAGTTCTGCTGAAGATGTAGAACTGGAACTCTTACTGCTGAAAGGACTGTAAATTGGTACAATTACTCTGGACAATTGTTTAGAAGCATCTACGAAGGCAGGATATACATATAAGTTATGACTCATCAATTCCATTCCTAAGTATATACCCTACAGAATGGCATGCATCTGTCTACCAAAAGACATTTATAAGAATGTTTATAGTTATTATCCATAATAGCTAAAAATAGAAACTACCCTATCACAGTAAAGTGGACAAATAAGTAGTGGAATAATCATTTAACAAAATACTATTAGGCCACGACAATGAATGAACTGCAACTACACAGATCAACATGGCTGAGTTTCAAAAGCATGAAGGATATAAACCAGATGGAAAGGAGTATGTGATCATGACTGATCATATGAGAAGGCTGGATTGTGGCTACCTTTGGAGGTATGGTAGTTTTGGGATGAAGCACTATGAGGACATCTAGGATGTGGGTCATCTTCTGTTTCTTGTTTTCAGTGCTGGTCACTTGAGTGTGCTCATTTTGTGAAAATTAATTGGGCTATCCTCTTATGACTTGTGCATTTCTTGGTAGAATACAATGCTTACCAAAATGCAGTTATGATTATGCACAACTATACCCCTAAATGCTCAGCTTTCAATAGTGTCATAGATGGTAGAAGTCAAGTAACATGACTGTAATTCTAAACTCCAACTTCTTTCACGGGAATTAAACATTTAATAATAGTAATTTAATTAAAATGTTATTAGCATGTCTTATCATTTCTTATCAAGATGCAATTGAGTATTCTAAGGCATTTAAGAAAAGAAAAAAGGTAAAAGAAACTCCAAAAGGAAGTTTCTCTCATATCAAACTAATTCTTTTTTCCATCAATTTGCTATTGTTAGAGAATATAGTTAGTTATTAATTAAATGTGATAAAGGGTATGAGAGAGAAATGTCCAAAAATAAACTCAGTAAAATTAGTTGAAATGGGATGAAATAGTACTCGATGGATTATTTACCATATTTATAAATAAACTTGCATCTAATATTTAGAAATAATAAGAAACATATTTGCCATTCTTTAGAGTATAAAATAATTCAAATAACACAACACTAACCATCTTTGGATAAATTCTTAGAAACATTAATAATACTTTGAATAAAAAATAGCTTATCTGTTAAATTAGTTTGTCTTTGTTTGCATTATTTTCCGAAGCTTCATCTTCCCCCACTTCCTCAAGCAGAAAGGACCAGAATTGAGAAGGTGCAAATTCATAGCTTTATTTTCTTCTCCTCATATCTCTATTTTGCTTAAAACTTCTCCTCAAAGCCCACTAGTGTAATTCTTTTTTTCCAGAAAGCACATCTTTTTTTCTATGATGCTGTCTACAATTTACTCAGGAAAGGAGTTTTTGGAAGTGAGAGAGGTCTATTCCAGTATTTTACATTTGAGTGTAAGAAGCAGGATATGACCCTCTAAGTCATACAAATTGAGTTTCTTTTCCAAAGCATCACCTATTAAAAATAAGATCATTCATTCAAAAACTGTTTATAAAGCAACTATTCTACTTTAGTTGCTGGGAATACAATGCCGAAGGCAAGAAAAAAAACAATCCTTATATTCATAGGGCATAGAGTTGGAAGACAGGCATTAATGAAATGACTGTACAAATCAATGTAAAATTATAATGTAATGTAAATTCAAAGTACATTGGGGGAATCTAGAACTTTTTGGGGCTTCAGTGAACTGCTCATTCAGCTAAGATTTAACATATGAGCAGAAGTTGTCCAAGAAAAGTGGGTAAAAAAATAAACTACACTAGGATACTCAGGCATGTGCAAAGACGTAAGGTAGGTAAGAACATGGTTTATTTGAGTAACTCAATGGAGAGCTGAATGGGGTGGGCAGGGGATAGGGATGTCAGGCGTAGAGTTTATCCACAAATTGTTAGTCTGTCCCCAGAAAATAAAAAGTTCACTGTAGCTGACTTCAAGTTCATATTTACATCTTAATGACAGTAATATTTTTTCTTTCTTGTATTTTTACAATATCTACTAAACTTAGCTAGAATTACTTTATTACTCAATTATTTGTCCATCTAATCATACAGGCTTCTCTTAGAAAAAAAATCATATTTCCATAATATGTTACAGGTATTAACAGTAAATGGATTTGTATGCCAAAGCATCGTTGAAATAAATGCTAAGGGGAAATCCACTGTGTATCAAATGAAATACGAGAGGATCTGATTAATTTTTCCCCTGTATTTTCTTAGATGATGACACTAATGGAATTTTTGATGTAATTTAAAAACCACTCTGCACTAAAGAAAAAAAAAAACAAACACTAACTGATTTGATAACCCATACTAGATAAAAATAAATAAGCAGAAAGATCATCACTAATTACAGGTAGGCTGAAAATACATTGTGATATCTACCACCTGCTAAAATCAAGGTTTAAAATAAACTTTGCAATTAGGTTACCTGCTAAAATCAAGGTTTAAAATAAACTTTGGAATTAG